GGCCTCTTAGGTCCCTGGAGCCCCCACCCCACCCAGTGCGAGATTAAGTCAACACCGCGCGGCTGCTTCTGGCCAGAACAATATTTGCCCTCAGGATCTGCGGAGGTCGCTATGGAAACGGGCCGCGCGGGGGGCAGAGTGGGAGGGAGCACCCCTTCCCGGAAAAGGGTGTCTCGTGGCTTTGAGCACGTTTGCCCCGTTCCCGTCTGTCTGCGCCCGGAGTCCCACCCACCTCTCCAAGCTCTGTCGTTCTGCTGCCCCACACGTCCTGTCCCTTCTCCCCACTCCCCTCTGATTCTCTCCCGGGAAACCTAAGTTTCTCTGGGTTCCCATCTCTCTGGGTTCCCCACATCCCTCTTGCCCGCCTAGAGTTTTTCCCGCTAACCCCGGTTCAGAGGGCTTTGTACCCCCAGTCTGCTGCGCTGAGAAAGAAGTGGGTGCTCAGGGTCCTTCCTGCTCCTGCTGGAGGACTAAGAGAGGCAGAGAGGGAAGACTCCGGGGCTCCTCCGTGCAAAACATGCACCCAACCCTCTGAACCTTCTCCTGGTCCCTCTGTGGTGGTGTCTGGCTTTGCTTGGGTTGCAGCCCAAGGCTTGAATGTGCAAAGCCTGTTCTGTAGATTCAGTGCATCCCGCAGTTGGTTAGGAGCTGGAATAATCTTTATTATTATTATTGTCACTTGTCACATTATTATTATTATTGTCACTGTCATCCTGTTGTTTATTGATTTGCTTGAGCGGGCACCGTAACGTCTCCATTCGTTCCTGTCGCGTGATAGTGTACCCAATGGTGTATTGGGGGCTCTTACAGGATCAGGGGAATAGGACCCATTATTGTTACCGTTTCTGGCATATCGAATACGTCATGGGTAGCTTGCCAGTATGGCAGAGCTTGGCATTATTATTATTAATAATATTATTATTATCATTATTGTTATATCTTTTGGGACACACCAGTAATGCTTCAGGGCTTACTGCTGGTCCTGTGCTCAGAGCTTGCTCCTGGGAAATCCCAGGTGGCGTGGGGGGTTGAACCAGGGTCAGCAGGATATCGCCAAGGCCAGCACCTCACCCGCTTTGCTGTCTCTTTGGCCCCTCAATAATTTCTCTTTGACTTCTGGGTCTGATTCTTTCTCTTTTCTGTCTCCAGGTTCCTGTCTTTGTTTGGATTCTGGGGATGTTGCTCATATACTTCCATGAACCTCCACCTTCTGGAGCCCTGTCTTTCCTCGGGTCACTATCCTTGAGTCACAGATACCCCAAAACCTGTGTCTTCATCTCTCTGTCTGTCTCCTGATCGCTGTGTTTGAGGGTATCTCTTTGACTCTGGTACTGTCTCTCTTCCTAACTCTGAGTCTCTGCCTTTCAGACCTTCATCTCTCTGGCCTCCCATTTCTGGCCTCAGTGCCCATGGGGTGCCCCCCCCCCCCCCCCGTCCCCATCTCTCTCTGCCTCATTTCTCCTGTACCATCTGCTGGCACTCCAGGACCCTGCCTGTTCCCTGCAGGCTCCTGGGGCTGGCCAGCCACATGGGGGGCAGGAGGGGGGAGGCACAGACCTCCCCACCCTGCATCCAGAGGCAGGGGGCCCTGCCTGACATTACCCTTGGGGTTGATGAGGAGGTGGGGAACACCACAGCCTGGGGACCCAGGCCCAGGGGCAGTGGAAAGACAGACACACACCAACAGCCCCCCCCCCCGCACACCCCCCCCCCCCCCGCCCAGATTGCTGAGAACATGGGGAAGGAGGAAGAGAGGGAGCAGAGGGTCAGGAGCAAGTGAAACCCAAAGAGAGGAGAAGTTTTTCTTTCTTTCTTTTTGTGTCACACCCAGCAATGCACAGGGGTTACTCCTGGCTCCTGCACTCAGGAATTACTCCTGGTGGTGCTCGGGGGATCATATGGGATGCTGGGAATTGAACCCAGGTTGACCGCATGCAAGGCAAACGCCCTACCCACTGTTCTACCGCTCGAGCCCCTGAGAGGAGAAGTTTGAGCTGTAGATGAGAGCATGACAGCCACGCTCACCTGGGACCAGGGGGAAACAGGGTGTGGGGGGGCTTGGCCAAAGGAAGGGGTGGTAGTTGTTGATAGTACAGCAGGGAGGGCTCTTGCAGGCATTCGACTGACCTGGATTCAACCCCAGCACTACAGAAGGCTCCCCAAGCCCAGCGAGGAGTAAGTCCTGAGCACTGTGGGGTGTGGCCCAAATGCCTACCCCCTCCCCCAAATGAAGCGGTGGTAGGAAAAGTCAGGGTGCCTAGGAGAGCACAGCTGCACCTTTTTTTAGAAGTTTCCAGAAACCTGGGAGTTGGAGAGAATCCAACTCTCCTGGCAAACCGGCGTCCCTCTCCCCACACCCTGGAAAAATGCAGAAAGTCTGAGAGGGGGTAGGGACCAGTCAGGGGCTCCGGTATCTCCCCTCCCGTTATGGAAGGGGAACTGTGCGCACCTGAGGGCTTGGTGGCCAGGACTCTCTTCCTCAGCGTCCCGGTCACCCCAGTCCAGCTGCTGGTCCCCAGCACTATCGCTCAGTGCCTGTTTCTCTCCAGTCCCCCTTCTGGGGTTTAGCTCCCTTGCACTTTTTCACTCTCTCTCTCTGGATGGATTCCCCCAGTTTCTTTTTTTTCTTTTTTTTTTTTTCGCTTCTTGAGTCACCCCCAGTGATACACAGGGGTTGCACTCAGGAATTACTCCTGGCGGTGCTGGGAGACCATATGGGATGCTGGGAATCAAACCTGGGTCAGCCGCGTGCAAGGCAAACACCCTATCTGCTGTGCTATCTCCACAGCCCCCAAGATTTTCCCGGTTTCCATCCCTTTCAATTTCTCTCCATTCCTCTTGGCCCGCCTCTGGCCCTTCCTGTTCTCTCTCTCTCTGTCTTCATCTTTCTTGGTCTTTTGTTGTTTTTTTTTTCCATCTCTCTCCACCTCAATTTCTTCCCTCTTCTCCCCGCCCCCCCATTCCTCCGCCTGCTTCTCCCTCCCCCTACTCCCCTGACCCAGCTGGGGGGACCCCTTGACCTCCTTGTCGCAAACCTAAGACTCCCCCCCCAGCCCCTCCTCTCCCGGAGGTGCCTCTCCTTGAGTGAGAGGGAGCCGGCCTTTCCCAGGACCCAGAGGGCGCCAGGAATGTGGGGCAGAGAGCAGGAGGCCAGAGGCCAGGAAGTGGGACCCCCCCACACCGATGTCATTTCCCTGCTCCAGGACCTTCTATTAGCCTCCCCTGCTCCTCACTTCTCCCTGCCTCTTTGGGGGTCTCTGTGCCTCAGTTTCTCTGCTGCCATGGGCACATTGGCCTCTATCCTACTTCTCAGTCCCAGGGGATTGTGTGTCACCAGTGTGGAGCATGGGTGTGGCCTCGTCCGTGGTTTGTCCTGGAGTGGGGTGATGGTGCTGAGAGCTACAGTTTGGTTTTAGGGCTGCCCCCATGTTCGGGAGGTGCCAGGGATCAAACCCATGCAGGCACGGCATAGTCTAAGTCTACTACTGTGCTGTTCCCTCTGCCCTCCCCCCATTTTAGGGTCAAGGGAGGGAGCGGAAGTGGAGACCAGGAGGTGGGAATCACATGGGACTGCGGGATGATGGTGCCTGCGTGTGGGAACAAGCGTGTGTGCGTGGACACGGCTTGTGAGGGAGGCTGTGATGGGCAGCATGTGTCTTTCTTTCTTTTTAGTTTTTGGGCCACACCAGTGATGCTCAGGGGTTACTCCGGGCTCTGCACCTAGGAATTACTTCTGGCAGTGCTCTGGGGACCATATGGGATGTCGGGGATCAAACTCGGGTTGGCCACATGCAAGGTAAACACCCTCCCCACTGTATTTTGGCTTAGTCTCAGCATGTGTCTTTCTCTGATAGTGGGGGAGGGGAGCGTGACTGTGGATAGTGGGGTGCTGGGTGACAGGGGGAGTTTGTGAGAGTGACAGAGTACAGCTAGGGTGTACTGGGTGGCTACGGATGCAGTGGGGAAGGGGGTGATTCTGCAAAGCTCATGGATTTGCCTGTGAGAGTGCGCATGAGCGGGGCTCTAACGTCGAGAATAGCTGTGTCATTTCTTCCCTGGACTGTCCAGGAGCTCCCCACTATGCCCCAAGACTATGCTGACAGATGGGATGATTTGGGAACTCAGAATGAGGTACCCAGGGGCTGGAGAGAGAGGACAGCCGGTAGGGCTTGCTTTGTGTTCGGTCATCTTGAGTTTGTTCCTGGGCATTCCAAATGGTCCCCTGAGCACTGCCAGCAGTAAGTAATTCATGAGCATATAGCCAGGAGTAACCCCTGAGCATCGCCAGGTGTGTCCCCAAAACAAAAAACATGCGAACAAACAAAAACCTAGAGTAAGGGGCCCAGGACAGCAGTGGGAAGGGTGATCACTTGGAATCTGGGATCTGGAGATCCCTGAGGTGTGTGCGAAGGCCAGGGTGACTGGCGCCACACGATGGGAAGTGTCATGTCCCAGCAGATGGCTGCCCCGCCCCCGCCCCCCCTCCCCCCCGGGGGGTGAGGCAGTTCTCCACCTGTGCCTGTGGGTCTGTGAGTGGTTATATTTTTTTTCCTTTGAGCCCCACCTGCCTGTGCTCAGGGCTTACTGAGCTCAGGGATCACTCCTGGCAGGGCTTGGCAGACTTCATGGAGTAGAGGGGCTTCATCTAGCTGTGTCTGAGGATCGTAGGAAAGGACTCCAGGAGTAACTTCTGCAAAACTGCTCAGAACCACAGCGCATGAAAAACTGGGTGTGATGATCAGGGGACTTTCGGGGGAGACCCTCTCCTGGAGAAGAGAGCATCAAGACCCTAACTCCGCGACAGTCCGGCCACGTGACCCTAAGGCCTGGCGTTCTCCCAGGCGCCACCTCCCCCTGCTCGCAGGCCGCGGTCGGGGCCCAGAGCTTCCGTCTCCCTTGGGTTCCCAGGCCCCGCCCCCGCCGGTTCCCAGGCCCCGCCCCGCCCGTTGCCCCGCCCCTCCGCCCCCCGCCCCCTCCAGGCTGTCACCTCTCCAAAGCCCAGGCTGGCAGAGAAGCCGCAGCAGAGGCAACAGCTCCAGGAACCTGGATCCCGAGCACAGCTGGGGGCAGGTGAGAGTCCCCCGGCCCCCGTCTCCTCTCCCTGACCGCGAGGGCCCCTCTAGTCTCTGGATGCCTCCCCTTCTCCCCCGGGGTCTTTCTCATCGTGGTCTCTGTCTGTCCGTGCCCACGTCTGGCTTCTCTCTCTGGGCGTCTCTGTTGAGTCTCTAGAATCCGCAGGGATTGGGACAAACCAGTGTGTGTACAAACACCCACAAACACCCTCTCCCTCTCTCCTCTCCATGTCTCCGCGTCTTCCTCTCTTCTGTGTCTCGCTCAGCTCACATGTCTCTGTCTGTTGCTGTGATCTGAGTGTCCTTCCCCCCACCCCACCCCACCCCCCGGCTGCCTTGTCGCTCTCAGTTTCTGTATTTCTGCCCCGTGGGTCCCCACCTTCATGCCTTCGTTGTGGGGCTCAGTCTGAACCCTTTGCCTACATGGTATCCTGGAGTGAACAGCGACGGGGGCTGGGGGAGGGACTGATTTCTGGCATATGCTCCCCTGCAGGGTTTGTACTCTCTGCTTCCTGGGTCCTGGGGTGTTCTGTTCCCCTGGATTTGGGCCAGAGCAGGAAAGTGATATGAGTTGGGGGTTCCTATCCACAGTTGGGGAAGCCCTATGGTGTTTCAAATGCTGTGGCTGTGCCTTCTCTTTTCTCTACTCCAAGACAGTGGATCCCCTGGTTCCTGGGGTGCATAGATCTAGACTCAGGGTGACATTAGAGGTTCTGCCCAGTGAAGCTCTGGGGCAACTGAGCCCTCGGCAAACACCACCCCCCTTTCCAACCACTGCTTTGAGAGTTCCAGTTGCGGGTGGTCCCAAGAATCATATGTTGGGTTTCAAATCTCTGTCCTCACGCCTCTCCTCTCCTCCTAAATCATCACAACTTGGGAGTTGTGTGTGTGTGTGTGTATGTGTGTTTGTCAATAAAACCGTATATATGGGTCTCCAGCTGGGGTGCACTGGGATGGGCATGATGGAGGGAAAAGGCCCCTGATTCTGCTCTTAAAACATTCAGATCCAGCTGCCCCTGAGGGACCAGATTCTTTGCAGCCCCCCACCCCCGCCCGATGCCCCATCAACCTGGTGATGCGGGACTCTCTGCTCTGGATACTGTTCCTGATGCTCTCACTGAGGGGGTCTGTGTCCCCCAGGGCGGAGGTAAGGACCAGAGGGACATGGAGCTCCAAGGCTCGGGGGATGCCAGGGGTGGTTTTTAAGTTTTTCACATGACAAAAAAAAAAAATAGACTTTTTTTTGGTGGGGGCAAAAAAAGTGGCTTGATTCAGGGCTTACTTCTGGCTTTGTGCTCAGGGATCACTCCTGGTAGTCTCAGGCGACTGTATGTGCTATATGTGGTATTTTAGGTTTGAAGGCCTACTTGCCAGGATTTGAGAGAGAGGGGAGAAAGGGAGGGAGGGTGGGAGGGAGAGAGAGAGAGAAAGAGAGAGAGAGAGAGAACAGGGGGTAATATTTGGCGGTGCATAGGACCAGCTCCCAACAATGATTCCGGGGGATCATTTGGTGCGGAGAATCCAACCCAGGGCATCCTTATGCAAAGCATCTGCTCCCCCCAGATGCAAGTGTTTGGTTTCTTTCTTTCTTTCTTTCTTTCTTTCTTTCTTTCTTTCTTTTTTATTTGCTCAGGGCTTACTCCTGGCTCTACACTCTGGCATCATTCCTGGTGGGCTCAGGGGACTATAACGGGGTGCTGGGGATCGAACCATGCACGGCAAGCAACCTACCCGCTGTACTATCAATTCAGTCCCTCAGATGCAAGTGGTTGGTTAGCAACTCCCCTGGCGGTTTCTGGCACCTCTCAAGCCTTAGAGGTTTCAGAGCCATCTATGACTCCCTGGGCAAAACAAGTGCTGGCTTTTCCAGCTTACAAGAACCGTGCTGCCTGGGAGCGGTGTTTGGGGGTGCTACGGGGAGGTCCTCCCTTCTCTTCTTCCCTAGACAGGCTCTGAGGGGCAGACGGCGGGGGAGCTGTACCAGCGCTGGGAGCGCTACCGCAGCGAGTGCCAGGCAGTTCTGGAGGACGCGGAGCCTCCAGCAGGTGCGACTGGCATTGGGGGATGGGGGCTGAGAGGGGCCACGCAGAAATAACGGACAGGACTTGAAAGAGTCGGGGGTAGCTGTGGATCCGGTCTGAGAGGCTGGCGCAGTGGGGGACTGGAGTTAGAAAGATCTCTTGCAAGAGACGGGAAAGCTCAGGGCGGGTCCGCGGGTCCAATCAGGAGCATGGGGCAGTGGTGAAGGGGCTCGGCTTGGGTGGGGCCTAGGAAGGAACTAGAGGGAAAACCCAAAGGCAAGAAGAAGGCTCCTGGAAAGACGAATGCCTCTGGGCCGCTTAGTCTGTGCTGCCGTGGGCGTGGCCTGCGGTGAGTGGGCGTGGCTTTCGCAGGGGCCAAGCCGGGTGGGCCGGGTTTGCCTGTGGAAAGCAGAGAAGCCTCCAGCCGGATCCACCCCTAACATCCACCCCCAGGGCTCGCCTGTAACGGTTCCTTCGATATGTATGTCTGCTGGAACTACGCTGCACCCAATACCACTGCCCGTGCATCCTGCCCTTGGTACCTGCCGTGGCACCGCCATGGTGAGTTGGCACAGGGATTCCAGGGCCCCAGCTCTCAGAGCTGTTCACCCTTCACATTTCCTTCCCTGCCCACCCCTCACACACACCCTGTTTTTGCTCTTGAGCTGCACCCAGCACCTCCTGAGCCTATCAGGAATTATTCCATATGGGATGCCAGGGATTGAACCCAGGTCGTCTGCATGCATGGTAAATGCTCTACCTGCTGCATTATTGCTCTGGCCCCTGCACCTTTTGGTACACCCAGTCACTTGCTCCTCCATTTAGCTGGCTGGGGTCCCTCTGTCTACGCAACCTGGCCTGGGTCACCCTGACCATCCCTCTCCCTCAGCGCTTCTGACTTTGTATCTCTCTGAAGTTTCTCTTTTTCCTTGAATCTGTTAAGTGTTTCTGGGCATCTTGGTCTTTCATGCTTAAACAGTTATGGGATCTAGGGTAGGATGCTTCATTTTTTTGTGCCTCAACTTTCTCCCTACAATTCAGTTTAAAGATTTGTTGTGCCTTAGAGCATAGGTCTGGCTGTCTCTGTGTCTCAGATTCCCTCTCTCTTTTCCCCACAGTAGCCACGGGCTTTGTCCTCCGTCACTGTGGAACTGATGGCCAATGGGGGCCTTGGAGAGACCATTCCCAGTGCGAGAACCCAGAGAAGAATGAGGCCTTTCAGGTAAAAAGAAAGGAGGCATTCGGGTTATAGTTCCTAAAGAGAGATTAAAAAGACTCAAGCTTAGCTTATACCCCATTGTACTATTCAGAACTACTGCTCAGGTCCCAAGAACTAGGCACTCAACTCTAACTGCTTTAAGGAAAAAGAAAGAGAAAAATATATACATTAACTTCTGAGATTAAAAATATATATATAAATACACAGCTTCAGGCATAGTTGGATCTAGGTGCTCAGATATATACGGGAATTTCTTTGTGTCTCACCCAATTTGGCCTTATTTTCCTGTGTGCTGGATTCATTATTATTTTTGGCAGGGGGTGGGAGGGGTAGACATCCAGCAGTGTTGAGGGATCACCCCTGGTGTGTGCTCAGGGATCATTTCCTGGTAGGGCTCAGGAGGCCATATGGTGTGCTGAGAATCCAACCTGGGTCAGCTGTGTACAAGGCAAGTGCCCTACCTACAGTACTATTGCCCCAGCCCTTCCTGCCCCCCCCCCCCCCCCCCCCCCCCGTCCTCCCTCCTCTCATTTTATGGAAAGATGATCCATTCCGAGAGGGGCGGAGGAATCGAACTCGGGTCGGCCATGTTGGGTGCGTGCAAGGCAAACGCCCTACCGCTGTGCTATCGCTCCAGCCCTTTAGCCCCAGGTTTTTGTCCTACCAGGCAAGGAACACTGTCAGGAGACTGAGCTTCGTTTTCAGTGGTGTTCCAATGTAATGTCTCAGGGTTGGCTCTCATTGGTCTGACTTGGGGCCTTAGCAGCCCTGAACCAATCCTGTATCCTTATGGGTGGGACAGTGTTAGAGAGAGAGCTCTGATTGGCTGAGCTCCTCGCTGAGCCCTAGAGTTCAAGGGGAGAAGTTGGGGGCTGGAGAGAGAGTACAAGGAGTAGGGCGTTTGCCTTTTACAGAGGTTTACAGACCAGGTTCCACACCCAGCATTCTCTATGGTCCCCTGAGCACTGCCAGGTGTACTTTCTGAGCAGAGAGCAAGGAGAAAGCCCTGAGCACCACCGGAGGTGGCCCCAAAAAAAAAAAACACAAAAAAGGAAGAAAGGAATTTCACTCCAGCCAAGGAGAGAAAACTGGGGGCTGGGTATGAAATCCCCTTTCATGGAAACCACTGAGCACTATCCCTTGTGTTCTCCTTCCTGCTCCCCAGGACCAAAGGCAGATCTTGGAGCGGCTGCAGGTGGTGTACACAGTCGGCTACTCCTTGTCTCTTGTCACGCTGCTCCTGGCCCTGCTCACCCTGAGCTTCCTCAGGTGGGGTCCCCAGACCTGGGCAGGGCATCAGGTACTGGGCTTCTGTTCGCATGGAACACAGGGCTGCTCAGAGACTCCCACAGCAAGGAGCATCTGGTGGGGCTGAAGTGGGGGGGGGGGTCTGGGCTTGCAGGGTTCTCTAAGGCCAAGGGTAACTCTCAGGGATCCCTACCTTGTTTCCCACCGCCACCATCCTGTCATCCTGTCCCCACCTGCTCCCCAGGAGACTGCGCTGCACTCGTAACTACATCCACATCAACCTGTTCGTGTCATTCATGCTGAGGGCCGCTGCCATCCTCTCGCGAGATCGGCTGCTCTCTCCGCCGGGACCCTACTCCGGGGACCAGGCTCCGACCCCAGGGACCCAGGTACGTCTCATCTCGGCCTTCCTAAGTGGGCGATCTGTGACCTCTGATAGGGCGAGGAGGTTCCTAAGCCGTTTCTTCCATGCCCCTCTCTAGTTGGACTTTTTTCTCCCCCTTTCCAGTAGGTGGATTTTGGGGATTTTCCACCCAGGAGGCTGTCCCCCTGCTAGACATGAGTGGTGGAGAGCAAGCAGCTGGTGGGGGACTCAGGTGTCCTCGTGGACAAGGGGCCAGAGACTAGCTGCATGTAAGGGGTCTAGGGACCACCTGGCTAGACCAGACCAAATATCAGACAGAAGCTTTGGGATGGGAGAGTCCATGTGCTGGTGGGAAGGGAGAATAAAATGTGTTAATTAGGGAGGAGCTGGGCCACAACCAGCAGTGCTCAAGAGCTATTCCTGGCCCTGTGATCTGGAGTGACTTTTGTCCATGAACAGGAGAACACTCGTGGTGCCAGGAATCAGACCAGGGTCAGTCACATGTAAAACAAGTGTCTGTACGATCTCTTCAACCCCCACAACTCTTATTTTATTTCATCAAAAAAATTAGGAGGGGGGTACCGCTTGGTGTTATACCCAGCAGTACTCAAGGCTTGCTTTTGGCTCTTGGTCAAGGGTCATTCCTGAAGGTGCCCAGGAATCCAGATGAGGTGGTGGAGATCAAACCCTTTACTACCTCACTTTTATTCTAATTGTGGCAATACTGATTTATTTTTTTCTTTTTGGGTTACACCGGCAATGTACAGGGGTTACTCCTGACTCAGGAATTACTCCTGGCAGTGCTCGGGGGACCACATGGGATGCTGGGAATCGAACCGGGGTCGGCTGCATGCAAGGCAAATGCCCTACCCACTGTGCTATCGCTCCAGCCCAATACTGATTATTATATGAGGAAACTTCCTGATTGGTGGAATTGAGATTAGGTTCTTAGGAGAAGGGACAGCGGTCGCCTGTATTTGAATATCTGGGATAAGATACTGAATACCAAAACATTTTTTTTGGTGTGGGTGGGGGTCACACTCAGCGATGTTCAGGGCTTCCTCCTGACTCTCTTCTCAAGAATCATTCCTGACAGGTTCAGGGGACCCTGTGTGGTGCTGGGACTGAACCCAGGTGGACCACATGCAGGGTAAATGCTCTACTCACTGTACTATAGCTCTGGCCCCTCGATACCAATTGCTAAAGAGTGTAGAGTTGTATTTGGAAAGAGATTTGGATGAGAGAAAATAATCTTTTATTTCATCTGGAGAGATAGTACAGAGGTTAAGATAGTTTCATTGGGGTTGGAGAAATAGGGGCAAGGCACTTGCCTGGCACGTGCAGATCTGGGTTCAGTCCCTGGCACCCCACATGGTCGCCCAAGTAGGCCAGGAGTGATCGCTGAACGTAGAGCCAGGAGTAAGTGCCGAGAACCGCAGTGTGTGGGGAAGAAAAATACAGGCTTTGCCTTGCATGCCTTGGTCTCTGGTTCTATGCCCAGCGCGGCCAGGGTCACTCCTGTATCGCCTTTGATGAGAGAAAGGGAGATGATTGGTAGTGATCCTCTAAGAGACGGGGGTAGGATGAGCAGGTGGAGGAAGGCTGGACGATACCTTTCACCCCTAGAGATCCCGACTGCCCCCTTCCTGCTCTGTCCACACTTTAGATACTCGCTGCTTGCCGCGTGGCCCAGATCGTGACCCAGTACTGCGTGGGCGCCAACTACACGTGGCTGCTGGTGGAGGGCTTGTACCTGCATAGTCTGCTGGTGCTGGTGGGAGGATCCGAGGGGGGTCATTTCCGCTGCTACCTGCTGTTTGGCTGGGGTGAGCCCCGCCCCGGTCCCCGCCCCGCCCCGCCCAGCACGCCTCTGCATCCACACCGATGGTCCTTGTTGGTCCCCCTCAGGGGGCCTCCTCCCTGCACCGGGCTTTCGATCTCCCCACCCTGGCGGGACAAGTCTCCGCGGGTCTTGGGCCTGGCGGGTGCCGGCAGGCGCGCGCTGACAGCTGCGGCGGGGTGGGGGGCGGGGGTCGGGGTCTGCACAGGGGCCCCCGCGCTTTTCGTCATTCCCTGGGTGATCGTCAGGTACCTGTACGAGAACACGCAGTGAGTCGTGGGGCCTGGGGGTGGGGGGCTTAATGGAAACGTTGGGGAGGGTCTGAGGACTCCCTGGGCTTGGCGGGTACCTGGAAGGGGTCTAAAGGAAAGCCTGGGAAACCCCGGACTGCCCCAGGGGCGGGGCGGGGCGGGGCCCGGGCGTTGGGGGCGGGGCCTGAGGGGGGGGTGTGGCGTTACGGCCGTGGGCGGGGCCTGGGGTGTGAAAGGGCGCTATCCAGAGTCTAGCCCTTTTTTGGACTCTTGCTCTACTCCTCCACCCCCAGGTGCTGGGAGCGGAACGACGTCAAGGCCATCTGGTGGATCATACGCACTCCTATTCTCCTGACCATCTTGGTACAGCCGGTCCTACCTCCTGCAGGCTGTCCTCTGGGATTTTCCCGGGAACCCGGAGGGATGGGCGTGCTCATCGTCCATCTGCCCCACCTGCGGCTCAACCGCTTTTGCTCTCTGCAGATTAACTTCCTCATCTTCATCCGCATTCTCGGCATCCTCATTTCCAAACTGAGGACGAGACAGATGCGCTACCCCGACTACCGCCTGAGGTGAGGGAGGGGTGGGGACTGCAAGGGGGAGGGCCAGGATACGATCATGGGGTGGAGGCGTGAGCATCACCTGCATTCTCTCCCCCCAGGCTGGCCCGCTCCACGCTGACTCTAGTGCCCCTGTTAGGGGTCCACGAGGTGGTGTTTGCTCCCGTGACAGAGGAACAGGCCCAGGGGACCCTGCGCCTCGCCAAGCTGGCCTTTGAGATCTTCCTCAGCTCCTTTCAGGTGCTTCCATGGTTTTAGGCAGACCTTTGACTTAGTCCACCCCAGAGACTCGAACCAGTGGAGGATTGCACCAGGGGCGCAGGGGGATGGCATCAGTCCTGTGGGTGTGGCATTGGTTCTGTGGATGTGGCTTTATGGGATGTAGGTGTGGTCTCAGGTATCCCTACTATAGGGTGTGGGAAGGAGTCTGGTTCATTCATTCTGCTCCAAATACTAAGCTTGCGGGTGGTGGGCTGGGAAAGCCTGGGGAGCACCCCTCCTGGCCGACCTCCTGACAGGGACTGGGGTCAAATTTGGATGGCCACTTCCCAGCACTGTGGCCTTCACTGCAGGGTCAGAGTTAGGGGACCCAACATGTAAGAAGGTGCTCACCCCGAGGCTGAGGGCAGACCCTTTCTCCCAGTTTTAGCTCCTTGGGCTTCAGTTTTCTTGTCTCTAAAGTCAGGACAAAACTAGCCGTCCTCCACAAGGCCGCTCAACCCAGCTAGTATCCATGGTTCTTGCAAAACCCTTTTCCAAGCTTCCCCCTCCCCCCTTGAAATCACAGGGTCCCTACCCTCTGTGGGAAAGAGACATTAAGCAAGCTGTAAGTAAAGGGTTGTTTATATAGCAAGTTATAATAAGCATGTTATGTAAGTAGATATAAATAAGCAGCTATATAAGCAAGCTATATAGGAAAAATTATAAAAGTAAATAAGCCTTGGGACTGGTCATAGTACAGCGGGTCAGGATCTTGCCTAGTACGTGACCAACCTGAGTTTGATCCTCATAGGATCCCCTGAGTCTCACCAGGAGTGATTCCTGAGCACAGAGCCAGGAATAGATCCTGAGCACCACCCAGTGTGGCCCAAAAACCAACAACAAAAAAGGGGCCAGAGACAGTTGTGTCTGTGGTTGATCCAGGTTAGATCCCTGGCACTATATATGGTCCCCTGAACACCATCAGTGGTCATCCCTGAGCAGAGCCAGGAGTGAATCCCGAGCAGTCCTGGGTGTGGCCACCCCCCAGTACCCCAAGAATAAAGAAAAGATAAAGAGGGTTCAGTGCTGGAGGCAGCAGGTAAGACACCTTGCACATGACCAGCAACCTGGGTTCTATCCCCAGCATCGCATATAGTCCCTTGACATATGGTCCCCTGAGCACTGCCAGGGGTAATTCCTGAGCACTGCTGGTTGTGGCCTTAAACAAACAACAACAAAAAACCCACCAAAAAGAAAAAAAGATAAAGAGAGTCCAGGAGATGACTCAAAGGGCTGAAGTATATGATTTGTACACTGGAGCCTGGATTTGGTATCCAGCACCATGGGGTCCTCTGAGCACCCCTAGGATGGAGACTCAGTTGGAAGCCTACAGGATGTGACCCCCAATTACTTGCCTCCACCCTCCAAGTAAAAGAAAACCTTTTTCCTAGGCACCAGTTTCTAGAGTAAGAATCACTCAGTTCTCGCAGAGGTCATTTGATGAGGGGCTTGTTTTTTTTTTTTTTGGCTTTTTGGGTCACACCTGGCGATGCACAGGAGTTACTCCTGGCTCTGCACTCAGGAGTTACTCCTGGCAGTGCTCAGGGGACCATATGGGATGCTGGGAATAGAACCCGGGTCAGCCACGTGCAAGACAAATGCCCTACCCGCTGTTCTATCTCTCCTCCAGCCCGTTTTTGCTTTTATGGGTAACACCTGGTGATGCTCAGGGCTTATTCCTGGCTCTGCACTCAGGAATTATTCCTGGCAGGGCTTGGGGGACCATATAGGGTGTTGAGGATTGAAGCTGGGTTGGCCACATGCTTGGGGGACCATATAGGGTGTCGAGGATTGAAGCTGGGTTGGCCGCATGCAAGGCAGTCACCCTTCCTGTGGTCCTGTCGCTCCAGCCCCAGGTGTCCTGGTTCTTAATTGGTCAAGTCCAATTGCTCAGGGGTTAAGGAGAGATCCTGGAGCTGGGAGGTGACCATGATAATCTAAGGCAAGGATAGCAGCAGGCGAGGTACGGGGAGAGGGGGTGTTGTGTGTGCCACAAGGATCGGGGTTCCTTGGCGGGAGGCCGGTGATGCTGTCCCGAGAACCCGAGAACCTGGCCTTAACCCCATGCCTCTCCACTGCAGGGCTTCCTGGTCGGCGTGCTCTACTGCTTCATCACCAAGGAGGTAGGCAGAGCTGCGCTCGCCCCCTGGTGGCTGCGCGGGGGATGGCGCGCTGGACGCCGCCTCTGAGCGCCTTCTGGTGGCAGGTGCAGTCGGAGATCCGCCGCGCCTGGCACCGCTGTCGCCTGCACCGCAGCCTCGGTGAGGGGTCGCGCAGGCCCTCGGAGCGCGTCTCTGGGACCCTGCCCTTGGGCTCCGACCCGGGCCAGGTCCCCACCGGCCGTGTCCTGTCTTTGGGCCCTCTCCCAAAGCCTGCGGATGAGGCCAGCCAGGTCATGGAAAGTTACTGCTAGGAGGCAGGATGCCTGTATCCATTCGTTAGTGTTTATTGAGTGCTAGCTGTATACCGGGCTTGGTGTGGAAAGTGCTGGGGAAAGTGGCAAAAGGAAACAGAGGGCAGGGCCCTGGTCTTCTAAGAATCACAACTAAGTGGGTGGAGGTGGGGAAAGGAATAGTGAAGACAAAACATCAAGTAACAAGTACAGAGCAGAGGCAGAGGATATGCAAAAGTCCTGGGGCAGGAAGGGGCATGGCCAGGGTAATGATCAGAGACCTATGGGGACAGCAGTGTATGATCAGAGCCAACATTTGTGGAGGGAGAAGTGGTTGGGCTACTCAGATTGGGTATGAGCAGTGATGTCTGGGCTCGTATTTGAAACAGATCCCTGCTATGAAGGGGAACAAAGGATGAGGTGCAGAGGTGGGAACCCGGAGCACAGGCACAGGGAGGCTGAACCAGCAAGACACACAGGGCAGTGTGGGAGCAGCCGCAGTGGTATAGCTGAGCGGAGGAGCTGATGGAAGGCAGGAAGCACCCAGGAAGAGTCCCCCGTTTGGGATAGAGGGGTGGGGGTGGAAGTCATTTTCAGGTGGGGAGAACCAAGGTGCTCTTTGGATAGGTTAAGCCGTGGACAAGGATCTGGGGAACGGCTGGCAACAGACATATAAGCGGCCAGAGTCTCAAGGGGATTTTAGGGTACAGGGGGAGGCCTCGGTGGAAACATTACATGCAGCTAGAACTGGACGTTTTCTTACCCTTCTGGGCAGCCCCTGGGAATCGGGGGCAACAGCCCATCTTCTTGGCTAGACCATCCTCAAGGAGTCCCCACCTCCTCCCATCCTTCCTTCAGACACTTAAGACTTTAAGTCCTGGGGAGCTGGCACTGATTTCCTTGGTGAACCCAGTCCCTGGAGCACATGGGTTCTGGGGGGGGGCAGGGAATCTTGTAAATAAACTAAGATACACTGCCGGCTTTTGTATCCATGGGGCAGGATAGAGGGAAAGGACTGAGGCTGACGTTGGGGCTGGGGGAACTGGGGTGCCAGGCAGCCACGCTTCCCTTCTCTGCCAGATACCAGAGAAGCCCCTGCTAGAACCAATTACAGGCAGCTCAGCCACTCTGAGCAGCAGACATCTTGCTAGTTTTATGTGTGCATGTGTGTGCATCGCCTTTGGGAAAGTGGGGTGTAGATGGTGAAGACGCAGGCACCGCAGCTCAAGCCTTAGCCATGTGGTTTGTGGGAAATTCCTGACCTCTCTGTGCTGGTTCCCACTTCCGGAAGTTGGTGGTGGCCCTTGTTCCTCCGGTAGCCCGGCATACGGGTGTGGTTCTCTCCAACACAGCCAGACACAGGTGTGGACATGGCCGCTTTGCAAGGTCTCTTCTGCACCGTCTCACTTCACTCCCCGCCATGGAAGAGGTAGTTAGAAAGCATGGGGGTGGGAAGGGGGACTGGAGCGATAGCACAGCAGGTAGGGCATTTGCCTTGCACACAGCCAACCTGGGTTCGATTCCCACCATCCCATAAGGTCTCCCGAGCACCGCCAGGAGTAATTCCTGAGTGCATGAGCCAGGAGTGATCCCTGTGCATTGCCAGGTGTGACCCAAAAAGCAGGGAAAAAAAAAAAAGCAGCACTCGGGTGTATGTGTGTGAGATGGAGCCAGAGTGACAGTACAGCAGGGAGGGCACTTGCCCGATGTGAGCCAACAGGGATCCCCAACACCCCAGATAGTCTCCCCAGCATTGCCACGTGTGATTCCTGAGTGCAGTTAGGAGTAAGCCCTGAGCAACGCTGGGTATCTCCCCATCTGTGGCATAGCACGCGATCCCTTGAGTACCATCAGAAGTGACTCCTGTGCACTGCTGGTAGGCCCACTCCCATCACAAAAAAAAATGTCCCAGTGTTTGGGCAGCTGTGGGAAGGGGCAAGCCTGCAGATTCAGGTTAGTGCCCAGAGAGGCATCAACTAGTGCCCTGGGCTAGAATCTTTGCTGCTAATCTGTCAGGCAGGCGAAACATTCCTATTTCCTAAGGAGAAATTCTTCTAGAGACTTCACCAAAATAAATTTTGAGAGGGGCTGGTGGGAAGGCTCCCTGGCACCACATGGGTCCCTGAGCAATGGCAGGTGGTTTTTGTTTGGGGGTTGTACCTGGCTCTGCTCTCAGTGATCACTCCCGGTGGTGCTTGGGGGGACCCTATGGAATGCCAGGGATCAAACCTGGGTTAGCTGCGTGGAAGGCAAGGGCCCTCCCTGCTGTACCATCACTCTGGCTTCAGCAATGTCAGGTGTGCCCTCTCCCCCCGCCAAAATTCTGAGAGACACATTTATTGAGAGAAGGGAGAGGGAAAGTGGTAAGCTAGATAAAGGGGGTAGAGAAGGGTCACACAGACAAACACAGACAGACAGACACACATTCTCACACGCACAGTAGAGCAAATACAGAAATCGACAAGAGGGCAAAAAGTGCTCTCGGTCCCATGTCATCCCCTTCAAGGAGCTGAGAGGAAGGGAGTGGGGCCTGGAGGTGCACAAGGGGCTGCCTTCCCACCCACACACCAGCCCCCAGGAACAAAACAATGCCACAAAGCTTTTTTTTTTTAAAAAAAAAAAAGAAAAGAAAAAAAAAGGGACTTTATTATTCCATCCACAAGGGCAGGTCTTCAGGGACGGGGGTGCCGTCTACTTGCCGGCAATGAGGGGGTTCCGCAGGACCACAATGACCGAGTCGCCGCGCAGGAACATCTTGGAGATGTAGCGGTCCTTGTTGACGGGCTTGGACTTCTTCTTCCCCTTGCCGCTCTTGGGGACCTCGGTCCACATCTCCTTCACGTTCTCCAGCACCATGTTGCAGTGTCTGGGGTGCAGGCAGTGGGCATGAGTGGAGTGACCCTTCTCTTGCTGCCCCCTCCGTGCCCCGCCTGGGGCTTCTGCCTTGGCCAGATTTCAGGAGGAGGCCTGGGAAGAGACCCCTGCCCCCTTCCTCTTCTCTAAACTGGAGCCCATGGTTGGGAAGAGGGGGAGTGGTCAACCACACAAGGCTGGTGAGAAGCTGAACAGAATCAACTGGGCACTTGGGGGACAAACTCAGAGCAGGCCGTGGGGTGCGGCAACAGTCTGATTGTGCTTAAAAAACAAAAACAAATACAACTCTGGGGCTGGAGAGATGGGACTGGTGTTAAGGCGCTTGCCCTGCACGTGGCCAACCCAGGTTTGATCCCCAGCACCGCATAGGGTCTCCAGAGCCCCACCACAAGGAAGCCCTGGGCACCACTGAATGCCAAGGCGGTCCCGGGAGGGCACTCACCGGTCGAAGGCCTTCACGCGGCCCAGGAGCTTCTTGTTGTTGCGGCAGTTGATGAGCACCTGCGTGTTGTTCTTGACCGACTGCGTGAGCACGGAGAGCGGGCCCGTGTTGAACTCCTCCTCCTCCCGCTTCTGTAGCTCCTCAGGGGTCATCTCACTCTTGGGCTTGTTGAGGAGGCTCCTGCGGGGGAAAGCGGGGAGCCCGCCCGGCGGTGCTCAGGGCCTTGTAGGGACCCCTCGGATGTCAATCCCTATCCCTCACCCTCCGCTGCTCCACCAGCCTCCATCTCTACCCAGCTTTTGAACATTTTCGTTCCAGCTTTGTCACAGCTGGTAGTGCTAGGGGCATTGGGGACAGTGTGGTGCCAGGGGACTGAACCCAGGACTCCCCTCGTGCAAAGCCAGTGCTTAACCTCTGGTCCATGAACCTGACCAAATACTTGCCTATACCTGCACCTGCTCTCTCGTGGGCTCCCTGTCTTCACAGGCGGGCCTGGGCTGTGCCAAGACCAACAATGACACCATCTCACACTACAAGATGTCCCCAACTTAGGGCCGGAGTGATAGTACAGAGGGTAGGGCGTTTGCCTTGCACGTGGCCGACCTGGGTTCGATCTCCAGCATCCCATATGGTCCCCCGAACTCCGCCAGGAGTAATTCCTGAGTGCAGAGCCAGGAGTAACCCCTGTGCATCGCTGGGTGTGACCCCCTCCCCCCAAAAAAGTCCCTAACCCAGCATTAAAAACCCTGAGCATTTTAGTTTTTTTTCTGCCACACCCAGTTGTGCTATGGGGCTACTCCTGACAGGGTGCTCACTCGCAGGGCACTACCAGGATTCAAACCCGGGGCTCCAGTATTTATTAATTTTTTAAATTAAAAATTTTTTAACTTTTGAATCACTGTGAGATAGACCCTGTTCATGACTGGATTTCTGTCATACAATATTCCAATACCCATTCCTCCACCAGTGTACATTTCCCAGTACCAGTGTCCCAGGTTCCCTCCCATCACCCCCCACACCCACTTTAGGGCAGGAGATATGGCAGGCACTTCCCTCCTCTCCTTTTGGGCTCTAGTATTTAAATCATGCACTCCAGTTCATTGAGGTATTGCCCAATTTTGGTAGGGGGGGCCCACCGCTGGTGGTGCTCAGGGCATATTTCTGGTTTTGCGTTCAGGGATCACTCTTGGTAGGCTTGGTAGACTGAGAATCGAAACAAGAATTGGCAGTATGCAAGGCAAGTGCCTTGAACTATATTGCTCAGGTCCCTAAATGCCCAAGTTCTACAAGGCACCTCATCGATACTGTCTCACTCTGCCCCACCAGGGCCTTGCAGACAGCAAGCTTTCACCTTGGCGGTTGCATTTGTTCTTTCCCGTGGACACCCGCAGGTTTCTCTTTTTTTTTGGGGGGGTGGGTGGGTCACACCCACCTGTGCCTGTGTCTGCCCTGGCGGTGCCTGGGGATGGAAATAAGCTCCTCCACACGCAAGGCAAGTGCCTTAAACTGGTACTAGCTCTCCAGCCCTCCCCATGTCTCTAGAAGGTTCCTTCGCTTTCTATAACCCAGTTCTTTAGTTACGGCCTCTCCATACTGACATCCACCCATTATTTTAACCCAGCCCTATTGTTTCTTCTTTCACAATCTCAGCCGCCTACCGAACTCCCCGCTTCTGATCCATACGCCCATCACCTGCTCGCCATACCTGCAGGCTGGGGAAAATTTTTTATGCGGGGGCAGGGGGAGAAGAAGGTCGCTCCGTTGCCCTGGATCGAAAGCAGTGCCTGACATACACGAGCACAGGATTATCACTGCTGAACGCACTACAAAAACCAGCCCTCAAAATCACCCTCGATCGTAACGTTAACCATCTCCGGCCCAAATGATGGAGACGAACCCCAAATCGTCATTCCGAAGAGGAAGCGCTTCAAAAACCTTCCCCTTAAAATCAAACAAGACTAGTTACTTGGTACCCTCTCTTGCCAGGCTCGTTCCTGTGTAAGCTGGAACCGTCCGAGGGCCCGCGCCGGTTCTGAAACCCTCTGGCAGAAAAGCACGCAGCTTTCCCCCTTCAAAATCCCTGCCTTCGCCCACCCAGCCCCTTCCCTTCGCAAGTGGCCACATTTTTACAGCCGAGACCCCACTCCCGCGGCCCAAATCCAGCCGGGACTCACATGGTGGCGCCGGTACGGTCCTCAAATCCACCCCGTTAGCTCCGCGTTGCCGCAGCCGCCGAGGAGAGCGCGCGTGAGAGGCGGGACTTCCGCTTCCGGCCCCCTGCTTCCGGCGGCGCCTGCGCAAACCCACGCCGGGAGGGGGCGTGGCCTGTCGCCATAGCGATCCCCGCCGGCGCTCCCGCGGCGCCCGGGATAGGAACCCGGCGGGGTGGTTCGAGGCCATGCCGCAGCCGACGGGCCGGGCGTTCGTGAAGATAGAGGGGAGAGGGAGGCGGACCGGGCTCCGGCCGTTTCGTGGCAGAGAGGCGCGGGTTGAAGGCGAGCCGGGAGACACCGTTTCCAAAGGCCCGCCGGGCCTGCCTCTGGGGGCGCGGCCTCCGCGGGGCCAATCGGCTCCGCGTTGCGGGGCTGGGCGCCGCCTCAGGTCTACGTGTCTGTGGAGCTTTCGGACTCCGCGTGGCCAATCCCTTGCCTGCCTCGGGAGGGGCGTGCACCGGCGCCCGGGAGGTCAAGGGCTCGTCGGATCGCTCGCGGCTCGTTCGGTCCCCCCAACCTGCGCTCGGGCGGTGCCCGGGGTGCGCCTCTCGCGCTCCCGTCGGGGTGGCGTGGCCCGCAGCGAGCTCCGAGCGCCGCGGAGACGGGGGAGGGCGGGAGGGTGCCGCCGCTCTCGCCGCTCATTGGCCGACCGGCCCCATGGGCTGGCATTTGGCTGGGCCTGAACTCGGTGGGCGACCGGCTGTTTTAGGGCGCAGCTGCCATGCGTTCCGGGGGCCGCGGCCGGTCCCGGCTTCGGCTCGCGGAACGCGGCCTCTTGCAGCCCCCCTCGCCGGCCAAGCGCCGCCTGCTCCCGCGGGCGCAGCTGTTGCCGCTGCTGCTGCTGGCGCTGGCCGTGGCCTCGGCCTTGTACATCATCTGGAGCACTTGGCACAGCCGGACGGAGGACATGCCGCGGGGTCCGGCTCAGCGGGTGAGGTCGGGAGGTGCGGGCTTTCGGTCTCCTCTTCTCCTTCCCGGGGGCCCCGCTCAGGTCGTCTCGAGCTCTTTGCCCGCCAAGTGAGGCCTGGGGCTCGTTCTGTAGGAAGGGTCTGGGGTTGCGAGAGTCCCGGGTTCTAATTCTAAAGCCCAGCTAATTAGAAGAGCCCCGTCCTCCTGCCAGAGCCTCGGTTCCTCGAGGAGGGTGGGAGTGGGGGGTGGGCTGGGGCGGCACCGGATGGACACGGAAGAACTTGGCTTGGGTCTAGAGAATTCATCCTGGGGATTTCTGATAGGGGGGGCGTGGGGCGCGATTACAGACGAGCCGTGGCTGCTTTCAAGGGTGACGTGGCCCGGGTAAGCTTAGCGGGCGTTGCGCTCACACTGCGTTTCTCTTCTTCCCACCTGCCTCTCCAGACCGCGCTGGTCACCAGCCTCGGCGAGGACCGGCTGCGGAGGGTCGTGGGCCAGCTGGACCCAGAGCGGCTCTGGAACGCTTACCTGCGCCCCCTGCTGGTCGTGCGGACGCCGGGCAGCCAGGGCAATCTCCAAGTCCGGAAGGTACACAGGACAGGGCCGCACCTCCAAAAACTACAGGAGCCCCAGATCCTCCAGACCTCCCTGTTGGCGAGGAGGCGTTTTCCAGGAGAGCCCCACGAAGCTCAGAGGAGAGGGAGTTAGTTGGCTAAGCACCCCGTGAGACATTTCTCTGCCTCCTTGAACGAATCCAGAGGCAACTGAAGGCAGCCTGAGTTCAGACCTTGAGCTAGTTTGTTTTTTGTTTGTTGTTTTGGCCACACCTGGCGATGCTCAGAGGTTACCCTTGGCTCTACACTTAGGAATGACTTGAGGTGGTGTTCGGGGGAACCATATGGGATACCGGGGATTGAACCCATGTTGGGCTGCATGCAAGGCAAGTGCCCTACCAGTTGTACTGTCACTCCAGTTTTTTTCTTTAATTTTTTATTATTATTAGTTTTTTGCTTTTTGGGTCACACCCAGCGATGCTCAGGGGTTACTCCTGGCTCTGCACTCAGGAATTACTCCTGGCGGGGCTCAGGGGACCATATGGGATGCTGGGAATCGAACCTGGGTCTGCCACTTGCAAGGCAAACACCCTACCCGCTGTGCTATTGCTTCAGCCTCTGGGGAGCCACATCTGGTGATGCTCAGGGGAAAATACCATTCTGGGAATCAAACTCAGCACTCCTGCATGCAAAGCCTGTGCGTCAGCCCTTTGAGCCAACTCCTGGTTCCCAAAATTGGGGTTCTGTTTTGATTTGGATTTGGGGGCATAGTCAGCTGTGCTCAGGGCTTACTCCTGGCTCTGTGCTCAGGGTTCACTCCTGGTGGTGCTCAGGGTACCATAGGTGGTGCCAGGGTTTGAACCATGGCCGGCTACGTGCAAGGCAATCACCCTCCCCACTGTACTATCTCTCGGTTCAGCTGCGTTAGGCTGGTGCTCAGCACAGGGTTTCAAGGGGATGGCTGACTGACTGTAGTGCCACGAGGGCGTTTGGAGCCTCACACTTGCCAGGCAGTTGCTCTGTGGCCCAGCCCTCTCTTCCCAACCCTGGGGTGGCTTTATAGCTTTTGGGGGGAGGTTTTGGGCCATACTAGGCTGCACTAAGGACTTACTCCTGGCTCTGTGCTCAGGAATCACTATTGGCAGGCTAGGGGGACCATATGGGGTACGAAGATTAGAACACAGGTCAGGCGCATGCAAGGCAAGTGCCCTCCCCACTATGGTATTGCCCCAACCCGCAGCTGCTTTATTATTTATTTATTCATTTTTGCTTTTTTTTGGGTCATACCCGGTGATGCAAGGGGTTACTCCTGGTTCTGCACTCAGCAATCACTCCTGGCGGTGCTCGGGGGACCATATGGGATGCTGGGAATTGTACCCGGGTCAGCCATGTGCAAGGCAAACTCCCTACCCGCTGTGCTATCGCTCCAGCCTCCCGCGGCCACTATTGGGGGGGGGGTCATCTAACCCTCTCGCATGTCTCAGGGTCTTGCCAACCTTCACCTGGTGCCCCCTCTCTCCCACCCCCTCTCCCCACTAGTTCCTGGAGTCCTCCCTGCGGTCCTTGGCAGCAGGCTGGCATGTGGAGTTGGACCCCTTCACAGCTTTGACACCCCTGGGGCCACTGGACTTTGGCAACGTGGTAGCCACGCTGGATCCTGGGGCCGCACGACACCTCACCCTGGCCTGTCACTATGACTCCAAGCTCATGCCGTCCGAGTCGGCTCCCTTTGTGGGTGCCACGGACTCAGCTGTGCCTTGTGCCCTGCTGCTGGAGCTGGTGCATGCCCTGGACCAGGAGCTGAGTCTCACCAAGGAGCAGGTGAGGAGCAGGCCCTCAGCCCCCCAGTTCCTGTATTCCCACCACACATCCCCAATGACAGGGAGCTTTCTGCCTCCCGAATGTCAGATTCTGTGTCTCCGTGTGCCGGAACCTCCCGTTGCCCCCACATCATAAAAAGCACAAACCTATCTTTGTGTTTGTTTTTTATTATTTTTTTGGGGTGAGGGTGAGTTAGGTTTTGGCGGTCGCACCTGGCAGTGCTCAGGAATGACTTATGATGGTGCTGGCCATTGAACTGTGGTTGGCCGGCTACAAGGGCAGCACCTTTGGTTTTGTTTGTTTTGGGGGGGGCACACCTAGCAGTGCTCAAGGCTTACTCTTGGTTCTGTGCTCGGGGATCACCCCTGGCAGAGTTCAAGGAACAACCCTATAGGGTGCTGGGGATTGAACCTGGGTCAGGCTCATGCAAGGCCAGCACCTTACCTGCTATACTGTTTCTCTTGCCGCCACGACCAGCCTTAGCCCCGTGCTGGCTCACACGCCACAGGGGACCCGGACTTGAGTCTCACCTAGAACAAAGGGGGCTTGTGACCAAGCCCCTTCCTTTCAGGTTATAGTGAGAGTATGTTTAAGTTTCAGAGTTCTGATGTACAAGTTACTACACCCTACCACCACCAACATGCCCAGGAATCTCCTTCTGTCCCCTCCCATTGGGTCCTCATTCTCTCCGTGCTCAGCTGCCTTTCTCAGGCCAGAAATCAAAGTTGTGCGAACTTACTCGTGACTGCTGAACTTCCAAGCAGCCAGGGGGCTGGGGAGAGAACACAGGGAGCTGGAGTCTGCTCCCAGGCCCATTTGGTTCCCTTCAGGTACTGCTGGGTGTAGCCCGGGGCACCCACCTCCATGAGGGGGATATGGCAGCAGTCCTATGGCTGAGGTCAACCCCAGCTATCTGACCCCTGGCTGACTCCCACGGTCCAACCCCTGTCAACTGACCCCTGGCTCCCACAGGCATCTCCCCACCTTCACCCCCTCACCTGACCCCCGGCTCCCACAGGCCGCCCCTGTGACGCTGCAGCTGCTCTTCCTGGATGGAGAAGAGGCGCTGAAGGAGTGGGGACCCTTGGACTCCCTTTACGGCTCCCGGCACCTGGCTCAGCTCATGGAGGCTGCACCCCACAGTCCCGGCCCCACCAGGATCCATGCCATCGTAAGCATGGGGGGGGTGCTGCTGTGGGGGACAGGCACCTTCAGGGAGACCCAGTGCTGGCCTCTGCAGTTCCGGCCTCTGTCCCTAGGAGCTCTTCGTGCTCCTGGATCTCCTGGGTGCAGCCTATCCCACCTTCTACAGTCACTTCCCGCGCACGGCCCGCTGGTTCCACCGCCTGAGGAGCATTGGTAAGGGGAGGGGAGCACAGAGGCCCCCACTGTCTTCAGTGGCCATCCAGCAGAAAGAGCCCACTGGGGTCACTTAGAGCAGTATACAGTCCCTAATACACCTTTGTACTCATCCTGGGGCTTCTCCCCGGGCCTCAGTCTTCTTTCTATAAAATGGGTGTGATGGCAAGCTCATGAACAGCAAATCACAGGAAAGGGAGTGACTGACAGGCATTCACTCTTGCTGGGAAACCCAGTGGCTCTGACCCAGTCCCCTTTGGTCTTCCTCTGGTTTGGGAGCTTGGGGGAGATGGGACCTGTGACCCCAGAGGGGCTGACCTCTGACTCTTCTTTGCTGCCTCCAGAGAAGCGCCTGCACCGTTTGAAACTGCTGCAGTCCCATCCGCAGGAAGTACTATACTTCCAGCCCGGGGAGCCTCCAGGTTCGGTGGAGGATGACCACATCCCTTTCCTCCGCCGAGGTACTGACTGTCGGGAGGGAGGGGCTTGGGGGCCCCAGGAAGCCCCAGATGAGACCTGTTCCTGGTTTTTCCCAGAACTGGGAATCGGTGGGCAACTTGGGGTACCTTTTGTGCCTCAGTTTTCTTATCTGTAAAATAGGGATAATCCTGGCCTCTGGCTCAGTCTCGTGGTGGGGGGATTGAAGGTGGCCACATAGGCAAAGATCTGGGGCTAGGGCCAGAGAGACGGGAGACGGTTGTGGGGGCTGGAGCATAGGCTTGGCCTGTGGGTGTTCTGGTGTCGAAGTCTAGCACCATAGGGTCCCCTGAGCAGCACCAGGATCAACCCAAGAACATTGCCAGGTATGATCCCAAACCTTACACCAGTGACAGCTCACAACAGCATGTAGAAGTCTTTGTTCATGTGTTGAGAATTGTAGTTTCTTCTCCTCCTGCCTTCCAAGGCCCTGGCAGCCCCCAGTAGCACCTGAGAGTTCTTAAAAATGCCCTGCCACATTTTGGGCACACCAAACCACAATCCTGGGCCTTCTTCTTCGTCATCGTCTTCTTCTTTTTTATTTTTCCTTTTTGGGTCACATCTGCTAATGCTCAGGGGCTACTCCTGGCTCTGCACTCAGGAATTACTCCTGGTGGTGTTCAGGGGAGCATACGGGATACTGGGATCAAATCTGGGTCAGCTGCATACAAGGCACATGTCCTACTAGCTGTACTATTGCTCTGGCCCTGCATTATTTTTCTTTTTCTTTCTTTCTTTCTTTTTTTTTTTTAAATGTAGGGCCTTACCTTTCTCTTTATTTATTTATTTTTGGCTTGTTGGGTAACACCCAGCAATGCGCAGGAGTTACTCCTGGCTCTGCACTTAGGAATTATTTCTGATGGTGTTCAGGGGACCATTATGGGATGCTGGGGATTGAACCCTGGTCAGCCACATACAAGGTAAATGCTATACCCTCTGTATTATGGCTCCGGTCCCTTGGGCCACACTTGACAGTGCCAGGGCTTACTTCTGGCTCTCACTCAGGGATCACTCCTCGTGGGGCTTTAGGGATCATATGCAGTGTCAGGGGTCAAACCCAGGTTGGTCGCATGCAAAGAAATTACTTTACCCTTTATCCAGTCCTATCTCTGCATTATTTTTTTCCCCATTTTTCTCTTGTTTGGAGGGCTCTGTTTTTTTTTTGTTTGTTTGTTTGTTTGTTTTTTTGGCCATACCCAGTGGCTCTTCACTCAGGGCACACTCCTAGCATGCTTGGGGTACCATATGGGGTGCCCATAGTTGAACTTGGATTGACCACATAAGGCAAGCGCCCTCTCTGCTGGCCCCTTGGAGGGCTTTTTGGGCTATGCCCAGCAGTGCTCTGGGGCTCCTAGTTCTGTGCTCCACAGTGACCCTTGGCGGTGCTCAGAGGACCATTTGCAGAGCTGGGGACTCAAACCTGGGTTGGCTAAAGTGACTGCAGGGAAGACAGGTTGGTGCCTAAATTCCTGAGCTCTCTTCAGCACTATTTTCTTTTTCTTTAAAAAAAAATTTGGGGGGCGGGTTGGCCACACCCGGCAGTGCTCAGTACTTACACCTGACTCTGCACTCAGGGATCACTCCTGAGGGGAACCATTCAGGGTGCCAGGAATCATAACCGATTGGCCTTGTGCAAGACACATGCTCTACCCACTGTACTCTTGCTCTAGCCCCCTCTTTTTTTGTTGTTGGGGGGAAGGGGAGCTGGGTTTTTGGGCCACACCTGGGGGTGTTCAGGACATTTCTGGCTCTTTGCTCAGATGACCCCTGGCGATGCTGGTCATTGGGTTGGTTGCATGTATCTGCGCTATTTTCACAAGACTCCAGATGGTTCTGCTGCTAAACTAGGACTGTCTCTGGAAGAGGGGTATAGTAGAGAGGTGTTGGGATTGGGGTGTGCCTGCATTTTGGGAGTGCACCTTACTATTACTTGACCCAAGAGGAATTATTTAACTTGAGGCCTTGTTTTTTTCTGGAAAACCAAGCTGTACATAAGTTATGTTTACACATAGCACAGCGGGTAGGGCGTCTGCCTTGCACGCAGCCAACATGGCTGACCCGAGTTTGATTCCTCCACCCCTCTCGGAGAGCCCGGCAAGCTACCGAGAGTATTGGATATGCCAGATACAGTAACAACAAAGTCTCCAATGGAGACGTTACTGGGCCCGCTCGAACACATACGTATCTCTGTATATTCAGGGTCCCAGATGGCGAGGACTTGGTGAGGTTAGGCAGATGAAAAACCTATTTATGCAATGTGCAGCAAATTAAGGCCCCAAAATGCTTTTGTGCTGGAGAGATAGTACAGCAGAGAAGGCGCTTGTTTTGCATGCAGCCGACCTGGGTTCAATCCCTGGCACCCCATATGGTCCCGTGAACCCACTAGAAGTGATCCCTGAGCACAGAGCCAGGAGTCAGCCCTAAGCACTGCTGGGTACGGCCCCCCCAACCCCTGCAAAAAATTCAAAAAAGCACTAATCATCTATCATACACTAGAGCGGATCTTCCGTGGCAGGATGATGAAGCCAGGGGCCTGGGCCTGACCAGGGCTCTTTTCTCTCCAGGGGTCCCTGTGCTGCACCTCATCTCCACACCCTTCCCGGCAGTCTGGCACACACCTGAGGACTCAGAGGCCAACCTCCACCCGCCCACAGTCCACAACCTGAGCCGCATCCTTGCAGTGTTCTTGGCCGAATACCTGGGCCTCTAGCCCCTCTGCTCACCTCTGGGGTTCCCTGCCCTGCCCCAGGGGCCTCTCAAGTCCCTGGGGCCCTTTGGACGCTTAAGCTGCCCATCTTCAAAGATGCAGAGGAGGCCCCGGTGGGGGACCTGAGGGGTGAGAGCTGGGCCTGCATCCTGAGGGGAGCCTGGGCGCTGAAGACCTCGCACAGATGCTGCTCTGAGCCAGCAAACCAGGTGGATGCCCGAGTCCACGAGCCTTCCTCCACAGCAGGTGGTGTCTGTTCCCCGAATCTTGCCCCAGCCCCTGGCCAGTTCCCACACTGAAGAACCATCCAGGGCCGCAGTTATGCTGGTAGTTAGCATAACTGTGCTGGTTAGGCAGCACTGGGATGCTAGATTCTGCTGGAACTCAGGCCCCCCTGCGGAGCCAGGAACATTCCAGAAAGCCAACATCCTGGGCCATGGTGGGAAAGAGTCGAGAGGCGGAATGAAGCCCGAGTCAGCTGTCTGTGTGACTGTTCCAGAGACAGGCAGCATTTCGGCCAGGTGTGCTGGCAGGGCATCCATCCTCTGGGAGGACAATCTTAGCAAGGTGCCTTGAACTGGTGGCCTCTGCTCCTTAGAGGGCGTGGTAGCTGCTGTGTGGCTACAAAGTTCTGGGGGTCGCTGCAAGTTGGAGCAGCCTGGAGGTGAGGCCTGCTGACCTTTGGGAGTAACTGTCCCAGCTCAGTGAGCCCAGAAATGGAAGTTACTGGATCATCCGCCAGCCAGCTGGTGAGGATTATGGCCACAGGCAGCTGGTAGATCTCATGAGTGGCAGATATGCTGCCTGTAGTTAAGAATCTTCATGGGTACCTGGGACCCCCAACTCTGGGCCTCACAGTCATCCCACAGCCATCGTCAGAGCCCAGCTAGGGTGGGGTTTCAGGCTTATGACTGCCCCCCATCGCCATGTCACCCTGCAAGACAGCTGGGTTGTTTGAGCTTTTTGGACCTGGGGTCAGAATTTTCTGATTTAAATGTGGTGGCGGTGGCGGCTTGCTCAGCCTGGCCATGGTTTTCCCAGCATCCTTCTGTCCTCCAGACTCAGGGATTCCCCAGAATTTTTATTGTGGGAGCTGCCGGATATAGCTGATGAGCAGTGGGTTGTGCATTTGACATGCCAGTGGTGTCAGCATCTGTCCTTTGAGGAACCATCAGTATTGTCAGCTGGGGTAGAGGGCGGGGGCCACAGAGCTTTGAAGAAACCCATAGCCCAGCTGGGCATCACTGGACACCCCCTGACAAGTTAAGTGTGCAGGGGCACCCTTCTCTTTTCTGATTGATTATAGAATGCCAATTAAATGTCTTAAGATGGTCTCTATTCTTTGTAATCTTTTTCATATTTCCCCTGGTGGTATGTAGGGCACCGTGTGTGGTGCCAGGATCAGAGGGTGAGTTGAGTGGATGGCAAATGCCTTCCCTCATACTTTCTCCACCTTTGGGTCATACCTGGCCATGCTCAATACTTACCCTTGGCTCTGTGCTCAGGAATCACTCCTGGCGAGACTCCGGGGACCATATGGGGTGCTGGAGATCGAACCCGGGCCTGTCGTGTGCAAGGCAAAAGCCCTCCCCGCCGTACTATCTCTTCAGCCTTGCTTGCACTCACATTTTTTGTCTGCTACTCTCCTTCCCTTTTTTTATGGGGGGTGGGGGAGGGAGCACAGCTATTGGTGCTGGGGGCTACTCAGGTCACTCCCAATGGTCCTCAGAGGATCATGAAGTGACAGAAATTGATCCTGGGGCTCCTGCCTGCAAAGCATGTATTCAATTCCCTCCCCCATTTTTTAGTTCCAGGGATGGAACCCAGGGACTCACACATGCAAGTCCAGTTGTCTACCACCAACCCCCCTCTCTGGGCCCGGTGCTGCTTGGGAGCTAGTCTTTGGGGGTCAGACTAGAGCAGTGCCAATATCTGGCCATAGATTCTCAGCGGCCGCCTTTCGCCACCCCCTGGTTTGATGCTGCTGTCAGGGACTGAACCCCAGGGCCTCACATGTGCTAGGCTTGTGCTCACCCACCTGAGCCATGTCTTTAGTCCCTGCTCTCAGTTTGGAACATTTTCTCAGAAGTCTTTTGGGTCCTCCTTTCTGGAGTTTGCAGCTCTGTGGGGTCTGGCTCTTGGGAGAACTTTGGCCATGACCTACACCTGCTTGTCCCAATAAGGCTGCGGAAGGAAAGCCAACTTCATGTTCACAAAGAAGCTGTGGTGCCCCAAATGCTCTTCTCTTCTATTTTGGGCTCCTGAACTGGGTCCTGGTTTTTCACCTTTCAGTTTGGGGGGGAGCCCAGTTAACCGGGCTCACCCTTCACAGGAAATGGAAGTCCTACAAAACCAACTCTTGGTTTGGGGTCATACCTGGTGAGGATCAGGGAATACTGGCTCTGTGCTCTGGTGCCAGGGTTAGAATCTGGGCTCCAGCATGCAAAGTATAGGCACTCACTAGCCTTTGCTAGCACTCCTGGACCCACAAAACCAATTCTGATTCTAAAATTGAAGCTTTCAATAGCGATGCTGTTGTATCCTAGTCTTGGAAAAGAAAATTTTGGGGGGTGAGCCACACCCAGTGATGCTCGGAATTTCTGACTGAGCTCAGGGGTCATTCTTGGAGGGGCATAGGGGACCACATTGCTCCTGCCCCTGAAAATACTTTTATATGACTGACACTTCCCACAGGAGAGATAGGACAATGGGTGGGACACTTGCCCTGCATGTGGCTGATCCAGGTTTGATCCCTGGCACCGTATATGGTCCCCCAAGCCTGCCAGAAGTGATTTCTGAGTGCAGAGCCAGAAGTAAGCCTTGAGCACTGACAGGTGTGGCCCTCAAACCATCCCACTCTCCTCCGCAACACAAATAGGCACCACCTGCTAACAATTTATCTTGTTCTGGGGGGGGAGGGGAAATGGTTGGGGGTTGGGCTATACCTGTAAGTGCTCAGGAGTAATCCCTGAACCCCGGGAGGGGAGGCATATATGGTGTGAAGGATCAAACTAGGGTTAGCCACCTTGCAGGGCCAGTGTTTGATGACTGGGGTTATGGTGCTCACATACTAGTAGCTTTTCAAAGTTTTCCAGGGTGAGTGGTGCTGGGGATCAAACTCAGGACTTCTACATCTCAACACACATCTTACCTTCTTTCATGCTTGCATTTTTCTTTTGGGGGGGTGGGGGGATGTGGGAGGGGGACACACCTGGCGTTGCTCAGGGCTTATTCCTGGCTCTACACTCAGGGATCGCTCCTGGGAGTGCTTGGGGCGGCATATGGGGTGTCTCCCTTGTGCCTCCCTCCCCTTTCCTTTGGTACATTCTGACCAATGAGCTGTACAGCAAACGAGAGTGTCTGTAGCATGTCGTAGTGCGTCTAGGAGAAGGCAGCTCCCTTGGCGTGGAAGGCCTCGGTGATGTCTGGCCGCCATTTGCCACCGTCAGTATGAGCTAGGAGCTGAGTCTGTGAATTCAGGGCTACCAGACTTATTTATGTAGTTATTTATTTTTTAAGGGACTACACCAGGTGGTAGTGGGGCCATTCTCGTCCCCTCCCCCTTCTGTGCTTAGACAACGTGTGATTGAGTCAGAGATGGAACCTGGGCCTCCTGCATGTGAAGCGTGTACTCAACCCACGGGACTATCTCTTGACTATCTCTCGGGCCCACCTCTGGGTTTCTAAAGGAATAAGAACTCTTGGAGCCAGAAAGATAGTACAGTAGGCAAGTGCTTGCCTTGCATGCAGATGACCTGGGTTGGATCTTTAGCACCCCATATGGTCCCCTGAGCAGAACTCCGCCAGGAGTCATTCCTGAATACAGAAACAGGACTAAGACCTGAGCATCTCCGCGTGTGGCCCAAAAACAAACGACAAAAAGAACTCTTATTTAAATCAGTGGTTTTCACTTACAAGTCTGCAGGTGTGAAAAACCACTGATTTAAAACTACAGCTATTTTGAGGTTTTTGATTCCATACTGGCACAGATGAAAAAAAGTCAAGAACCACCTTTGGTTCAGGACCCTTCTCACGGGCCTGAGAGACAGTACTGGAGCTAAGGGATCTCCTTGCATGTGGGGGACCCTGGTTCAATCCCCAGCACCACATATGGTCCTCTGAGCACCACCAGGGGTCATGTCTGAGCACAGAGCCAGCCCCTGAGCACCTAGGGGTGCGCGCCCCCTCCAAAACAAAAAAGAGCCCTTGTCTCATTTTTCCCTCCCGCTACTTCCCAGGGTCCCTATCTCCCGAACCCTTCCCCGAGTAACACACAAAGGAGTCTGGGCCCAGCCTTATAAATATTGGTTTTATAGAAAGGACCAATTCAAAATTGGTCAGATGCCACACGCTAGAAGTTTCCAGAACCACAAGGAAAACAAAAACCCAATCAAAAAGACCCCAGACCAAACTGCCTGGAAATCAAGGTCTCAGCTGGTCAGAGGGCTCGGAAGGAACACAGTGGCCAAGGGGCGAGGCGCCCCCACCGCCTCAACGGAAGAACCGGAGTGAAGGAAATCAACTCAGAACTGCCAGCCCGCAGTCCCTGCCCAGTGGCCCCCTCGCTGCCAGGAGCGAGGCAAAGGGCTTCACAGCTTGTTTTGGGGGGTAGGGGGGAAGTGATGACAGCAACAGTTTAAATAAAGGGGAAGTGGGGGATCCGTATTTCTACTTTGTTCTCTTCCCTTCAGGGCACAGAGACTGGGGACTTGAGGCGAAAGAGAACGGTGACTTTTACTTTGGGACAGTGGAAGCCATCCAGAAAGGGGGGGGGGGGCTTTCAGGAAGCGTCAGGCTTTGATCTGGGATTCAATGACGCTCTCCCCCCCATTCCCCAAGAGGAGGTGAGGCCTTGGGGTGGCAGGTTAGCACAGATGTCCCACCTTGGGGCTCCTGAGAGGCAGAACTGGGGGCTAGGGTGGAAGGGGACCAGAGCTGGGCAATCCTAAGGATTAAAATTAGCTGCCATCTGCTCCCAGCTGGTGGGTCCCTGGGGGTGAGGTGGGGAGTTCAAGCATTGGCAGGGAGTTGGGGGAGGTGGTTCAGAGCTGACTGTAGAAGAAATTGAGATGCTGATACAAAAATGCCCTCCTTGGAGGGGCCACGGTCTGCTGGGGGAGTAGAAAACCCGTGTGTGTGTGTGTGTGTGTGTATGGGGGGGGCTGTCAGGCCATCAGTGCTTTCTGGGGGTCCCCCCTTGAACCCCAAACCCCAACTCAGTTCAGGGGAGCGAGCAGCGCTGGAAGCGGTCTGAGGGCTGGAAAGCCTAGGGGTGGGCATGATGGGCACTGCCCCCCCTTCCCCTGGCTTCACCTGCCCTCTTCCCGGCCGGCCCGGCCCGCGCCCCCGCCCCCGCCCCCCGGCCCGTGGCACGGCAGCACCCAGTTGTTGTCGTGCAGCCCCAGGCGGCAGCCCGGGGTCTCGCGGTCAGCGCGGCGGCAGCACATCCAGTAGGAGCGTCCGTAAGGCAGGTCGTGGTGGTAGGGCTTGGGGTGCCAGCGGCACAGCGACACGTCGCCCTTCTCGTAGCGCTTGCGGCACTGCTTGCACGGGTCATCGCGGTAGAGCGGGTCGCGGCTCCAGCGCGAGTCCGTGGCGCGCACGCCGAACGCCTCGATGATGCCCTTGAAGTGGTGGCACGTGCACTTGAGCGCCGCCAGGGCCCGCGTGGGCAGGAAGCTGAAGATCTTGACCAGCACGTGCTCGGGCAGCTGCAGCATGTACTGGCGCGGCTCGAGCAGCCGCTGGATCTTAAAGCGGATCTCCAGGAAGTCGTGCGACACATGCCGGTACAGGCGACACAGGGACGTGTCCTGCGGCCCCTCGGCCTCGTCGGGCCCCGGGGTGGTGGCGGTGGGTGCCGCAGCAGCCGTGGAGGTGGCGGCTGGGGGCGGCTCGGGGGGCCCGTCCGGGCCTCGGGTCTGGAGGAAGAATAGCTGGCCAGGCGGGGGCGGCTCCTCCGGGCTGACCGTCAGGCACACCGTCTCCTCCTTCACGTTCTTGGTGCCATCCTTGCCGAAGAAGATGCACTCGTCCACCACCCCTGTCACCACCACGTCCACGTGGAAGCCGGCGGCGCCGCCACAGTCTCGGGCCGGGGGCGGAGGGGGCGCTGGGGGCGTGTCCTCGGGTCGGGCGGGGGCCGGGCTGTCCCCCTCACTGGCTTCGTCTGCCCGGGCCAGCAGGAACTCCACGTTGCTGGGGAGGGCGTCCCGGGACGGGCTGATGAGCTGGTACAGGTCGCAGGTGATCTTGTCCTTGGCCCTGGCGCCGGGGCCGGGGCTGCCTGGGTAGGCGCATCCGGGCCGACCCCCAGCGCCGTTGGGCAAAGCGCCGTCGGGGGCCCGGGAGTCCCGGCCGTTGGAGATGCGGAAGGCGATACGCACCTCGCCGGGGCCGGGGCCGGGCCGCTCCTCCTTGTGGAGACCCTTGGCTGGGGGGCTGTCGCGCTGGGCCTCGAAATGGGCCACTGCTTCGGCCACCCGGCTACAGTCCCCGCCGCCCGCGCGTCGCTCGGCGCCCAGCCCCTTGGCGGGCCCGCCCTGCTCTGCGGACACGTACACCACAGGCGTCGGCGTGCCAGGCCGTGGGTAGCTCTGCAGGGCCAAGGCTGCCCGCTGTTCCACCAGGGCCACCATCTCAGCCACTGAGAGCAAGTCCACGTCGTCTGCAGCGGAACCTGGGGCCCCCTCAGCAGCCGGGGGCCCCTCCTGGCCCCCTGGGTCTGGGGGAGCTTTCGTGGGCTCCAGACAGCGCCGCCGCCGCTTGGCTTTGGAGCTGTCACTGCCCCAGTGCCCTTTGACCTTCATGGAGCTGGCCCGGCTACCCCCACCGCACTGGTGGGCCACAAAGAAAGCCACCTTCTCCTTAGTATTTCCGGGCTTGATGACATACCATGTGTCCAGCAGCACCCGTCCCTCATCACCTGCTGACGAGGCGGAGAGGAGGGGGGTGGGCTGGGGTGCGGGGGCCTCAGAGGCCAAGGCAGGCGGGGTGTTCTCGGACAGCACTGGCTCCAGGTCTGGCTCAGTCCCGCTGCCAGGCTCCGGGCAGGCCGGCGGCTTGAGGGCTGCGGAGGGAGGGCGCGGCTGGTTCTGAGAGTAGGTGCCAAAGGGCCGAGGGCACCAGAGCTGGAAGGGCAGGAGGCTGCCACGCTCCATCCTGGGGCAGGCTGGCAGGAGCTCACCACATGGCTGGGTCTGCAGGGAGATGCTGTGTTCCACGGACCACCTGGACAAAGGGAAGAGGAGGTTGGGCAGCTTGGGGACACACTAGCTACCCCAGGCCCATGCCCCTGCCCCCAATAAACAGCCTCCACCTCTCCTAAGGGGCGCGCCAAGAACTCGTCCTGCACCCCCCAGGCACTGAGCAGAAGGGGCGTTGCAGAGGGGCTGGGACTTGCTCTTTGAACACCCCAAGTCGGCTGCCTGCTCCAACCTTCCAGATCAAATTCCACGGCCCGGCAGCCCTTGCCGCCAACCCAGAGGCCTCCAACTGCCATAACCTTTAAACGGAGAGAAGGCGCCAATAGCAGACAGCTCCTCTCTCTGCTCGCCCAGTGGCCAGTTCCTGAAAAGCCAAGAATTCCCAGCCCACAGTTCTGGCTCTGGAGCCCACAGAGGGAGAAATGGGGTGGGCTGGGTCTGGGGAACTGGGGTGCCAAATCCACTCTCACAAAAAAACATAAATAAGCAGCACACAAAAACATGGGGGAAAACAATTTTTTTTTCACCAGAAAAAACTCACATAAGAGAAGTGCTAAGAGATGGCTCAAAGTGGCACAGACGAATGAATAGACCCCTTCCTAGCTTCCCACACCTCTGGTGTGACCCCTATAAAACATGCAAATAGGGGTTGCAGAGATAGCATACAGCGGGGCAATGGCACTGCACATGGCCGACCCAGGTTTGATCCCAGCATCCTGTATAATCCCCCGAGCACCGCCACAAGTAATTCCTGAGTGTAGAGCCAGGAGTGACCCCTGAGCATCTGTTGGGTGTGGACCCAAAACAATACCCCCCCCCAATACAACCTCAAGATTGCAAATACATTAAAAAAATCGCCCCGGGTTCAATTCCTGGCAAGTTACCGAGAGTATCTCTCTCGCACAACAAAGCCTGGCAAGCTACCTGTGACATATTCAATATGCCAAAAACAGTAACAACAAGTCTCACAATAGAGATGTTACTGGGCCTGCTTGAGCAAATCGATGAACAACGGGAGGATAGCGACAGTGACAGTGACACAAAACTGGTGTGTGTGTGGGGGAGGGGGGCACACCCAGCAGTGCCTAGGGTTGACCCTTGGCTCTGCACTCAGGGATCACTCCTGGTGCTGCTCCAGGGACCATACAGGATGCTGGGGATTGAACTCGAATCAGCCACATGCAAGGCAAACGCCCTACCTGTTGTACTACTGCTCTGGTCCCTTCAAGTTTTTATGAAAAAGATGGGAGAAAGCACAGTGGTAAGGGTACATGTCCAGCACACCCTAACCTGCTTTGGATTCCCCAGCACCGCCAGGTGGTGCCTTGCACATTGCCAGGTGGAGCCCTGGAGGCTCCTAGCACTTTGGGAGAGGCCCAGGGATCCCTAACACCACAGGGCACCCTTGGGCCCCTTGTAACGAATCACTGGCTTACTGGTCAAGAATTGCCAATGGGGTCCCCAGACCTCCTAAGTACTGCTCAAGTCTGCCATCCCTCAAAAGAAAGACAGGCTGGAAAGTTAGCTCAATGGGCTAAGCACCTGCAAAGCCAGCTGTGCATGCCGGGAGGCCTGTGTTTGAGCCCGGGCCTGCTGTGGTCCCCACATACCACTGAACACTGCCAGGTGTGGCACAAAAACAAGAAACAGAAACTCGATCATCAGGTCACGAGACTCCCTTGAGACTCTCATAAGGCTTCGTGTCCTCCCCTAGGAAAAGACATTCGCCACAAACTGCGGTTATTCCCTTATTCTGTCCAACTTCCACAGGTGGCACCCAGGTAAACTGAGGCTCACAGGAAGAAGCCTGCCACAGCACAAAATCAGCCCCTGAACATTGGTTTCTGGGCCTTTTCACTCATGGCTCTCTTAATAGTGACCACTTTCTTTTTTTTTGTTTTTTTTTTGTTTTTTGGGCCACACCCGGCAGTGCTCAAGGGTTACACCTGGCTCTGTACTCAGGCATTACTCCTGGTGGTGCTTAGGGCTCCCATATGGGGTGCTGGGCCACGTGCAAGGCAAATACCCTACCCACTGTACTATTGCTCTGGCCCCTATTCATTTTAATTAATCAATTTGGACCACACCCTGATGCCCCCCCCACCTCCAGTAATGCTTACCAAATCAGAATATCATCCCAAACTCTTTTGAAACCTCAAGTACTAAGTTCTCAGAAGCACCCTGGCTGCAAAAGAGCTATTGAAAACATATATATAAAAAAAAACAACAACCACAACCCTCCCTAACACATAAGCCTCATCTCAAACAGCATATTTCAACGGAAACCCTCAGGAAGATTCACGGTATTGTAACAACAGGCGCCTGATTTATGCACAAAAACACCGGGCGCTTACTGGGTCCTGTTCTAACAAGTCCTTGCTAATCAGTCCTGAGTTCCTCGGTAGCAGGCAGCCCTAGTCCCCATTTCCAGACGAGGCCCACAAAGGTTGATACCCGTCTTTGGAAGTCAGAAGGGTACTGGAAAGTGGAGGCAGCAAAGCACCCGCATTCGGGCTTCAACTGTGGTAGATAACTCTTGCATTCCTTTTCTTCCTGCGTGCAGGGATTCTCTGCGTGCGCTCTCCAAACTCTACAGTCACCCAAACCCTTCTAAACATAAAGGGCACAGACAACACCACCGAAACTCGACCCGAACCCCAAATACCCGCTTGCAACCCACAGAAAAAACTCCACACTCGGGCTGCCATACGAGGTTACAAACAAAAAGAACCCACACATTTCACACTGCCCACGGCCGCTCCTGAACGGTGGCCCCCTCTCAAAGGACCCTGGAAAACCTAGCCACGCCCCCCCAGAGCCCGACACCGGCGGGCCCCACCCCTTGCGGTGGCACCGCGTGGAGGCAGCGGCGAGCATGCGCACCGGGAGGCCGCGGCCAGCCCCCTCGGCGCCGGAGTTTCGCTCCGCCCTTTTGTTGACAGACGCGCGCGTGACGCTCCCAGCCAATGAGCGCCGGCCGTTCGGGGCCATGCCCATAAAAGGAAGCGGCCTTGGCGAAGGGGCCCCACTGGAAGGAGGGAGGAGTAGGTGCGAGGTGACGGAGGGGGTGTGGAAACAGCTGAGAGTAAGGGAGTGTGTCACAATGCCCAACTTTCTGTGGAACGGAGGAGGAGGAGGCCAAGGCGAGAGGTCAGGGCGGTCGAGAGGCTCCTGGGGGTACAGCGGGGAGGGCGTGCTGGCCTTGCACGCGAACCATCCGGATTTGGTCCCCGACATCCTCCATGCCCCCCCCCCCCCGCCCCTCCAGAAGTAATCCCTGAGTGCAGAGCCAGGACTAAACCCCCACCCTGATCCAAAAACTAAAAGCAGAAAAAAACACCCTCTCCATTGGAACCCTGGCTCTAGGGGACTTAGTCCAGGCTAAGGGGAGAAGCAGGTATCAGTGAAAGGTCAGGGAGGGGTGGGAGGTGAGAAGTGGGGTGCAGTGTGATCTCTGGGTGTGTGAGGAAGGGCAAAGGGAGAAGCTTGGGAGACCCTAAGTCTCTGCACTTGACATTCAAGGCTTAGGCTATGTATGCCCAGAGGGACCACTCCGTTCAAACTTTCCAAGAAGAGAATCTGGGAGAACTCAAAATGACTTTCAGACACTGCTCACGTGTGTGTGATTGAACCCAGACTGGAAGATAGTCAGAGAGCTGCTCCAGACTCACTCCAGAGGCTCCTCCAATATGCAGTTCTGGGGATCAAAACGGTTGCATGCTAGGCAAGCGCCATGGCCGCTGGAAAATCTCTCAGTCCCAATTCTTTGAGGTCTTAAGGTCTTAACTCAGCCAGCACCTCTTCCCCCCAAGCTCTATCTCTTGCCTCGGTCATCCTTCTAATTTCTCCCAGTCGCCAAATTCTACCCTTTGCATTTGCTGTCCCCAATGGACTTAAATGTTCCCTTTCACCCCCTCCCCCAAAATGCTCAATACCTTCTTTTTTTTTTTGTTTTTGCTTTGGGTCACACAGTAAGCAGTTCCCAGGGCTTACTACTGGCTCTGAGTTCAGGGACCACTCCTGGCAGGGGATATATGTATAACCAAGTATTGAGCCTGGATCTGCCAGGTACAAGGCAAGCACCCTACTGGCTGTACTATCTCTCCAGCTTATTTTACTTTTCTGTTTGTTCTTGGGTCACACCTAGCATTGCTCAGGATTTACTCCTGGCTCTGCATTCAGGTTTCGATCCTAGAGGTGTCCAGGGGACCCTATGGGATGCTGGGGTTGTTCACATGCAAAGCAAGTGCCCTACCTGCTGTGCTATGGCTCTGATCCTCCTACCGTTTTTCTTTACTCAGGTCTTTGCTCAGACAAGTGCCCTGCCTGGCAGCCCCCACCTGTGCAAAGGGGCACCTCTAGGTTTCCCTGGCTCAACCCCACCCACTCTGAGTCTGGGGAATGGGCCCATTCTGTCTCTGCTGCTGGACTGTGAACTCCCAAGGGAGGGACCGAAGAAGAGCCAGAATTATCAGAGTCACCTGGTGATCCCAGCTCTGCAGCCCAAGATTGGGCTGAAAGTTGATGATTAGAGCTCTTGTCCCTGAAACTCCTTATTCCCAACCTCCAGACTCCTGGCTGTGTATAAACTGTTTCACACCCAGCAGTCACTGGGGCAGAATGTTCTTTTAATTTTTTTTGTTTTTGGTTCACACCCAGTGGTGTTCAGGGCTTACTCGGTGGGGATGGAAACTGGGTCTGCAGTGTGCAAGGCAAGAACCCTGGAGGCTGTACTATCGTTCCGGACCCTGGGCAGATTATTCTAACTCCACTCATCCAAGTCCAACACTGTGAGGGACACTCCATCAGTCTCCCAAGAATACTCCTTGAGGGGCTGGAGTTATAGCATAGCGGATAGGGTGTTTTCCTTGCATGCGACCAACCAGGGTTCGATTCCCAGCATCCCATAAGGTCTCCTGAGCACCGCCAGGAGTTATTCCTGAGTGAGTAACCCCTAAGCATCACCAGGTGTGACCCAAAAAGCAAAAAAAAAAAAATTCCTTGAAGACACCTTTATTCAAGGTG